AAGATCCAGCCATCGGAGGCTGCAAGCAACTCAAAGGGATCGCAATACCAACGACTGCCAACACATCAAGGCAACCTACACGGCCGGACCCAAGATCCGCCACCGGTCACAGCTCACGTGGACTCCGGATCAACCTACTCGACAGCAGAGCCAAGACTTTCCGCGCTGTTAACCACATCCCTGCGTCTCACCAAGACATTAAGATCTTCAACACTTCGACCTCTCCTGCAGGTACCGGAGGAGCAAGATCCAGCCCCCCTACCGACGGGTACACAAGGTGAGGAAGTTCAGCTGATCACGGATCAACAGGAGTACCCCCTCCTTAAATCGTTGTCCTGGGCACGGTGGCAAGCCCGATCCAGAACTCTCAAGAATTTTGCTGATCCCGCTCCACCACAATGGTGCGCGTGCCCGGAACTTCTGATTGCTCGGGATTTCACCTTGAGCCTCAAGAAGAAGTTCAAGTGAAGACTGAACAAGGGATCAAGATGTCGCCGGATACCAAGTCGACGACGACATCGCTGAACGCCAGATCTGCGGATCGGCAGAGTGCCAGGAGGAACTCTGGGACATTTGGGATTGCAGGATCAAGGAACATCACCGTCCAAATGCTGTGGATCAGATCCGTCACCAATGATGAGTGTACAATCTGGGACGGGGCATGCAGCCAGTGATCCGTTGAAGGACAAGTGCGCCGCGTTTATGTCACAAAACGGACATGGATCCACCACCTTTTGTTGGAGATCAACCGGACCGTCGGATCTGGACCTCACCTGGGACTCAGATCAATAATATGATGAATGTGTATACTACCATGAAGGATGTGATCTGTCCGCGGAAGATGTCGACGATCAGGTAGCGGTACTACCAGAAGTGCCCGTGACGACGGAAGAAGTAGAGCTCGGATCGACGATATTCAACTGTGTGGATCTGACAGGCAAACTCCAGAAGAGATCGAGCGACTTCGCCAAAGGATTTGGAAGTTCCGACACCTCTTGATCGGGAAAGGAAATGCCCTCCCGCCGGCCGCTAGAGGCGTGGTGTGCGATATCGATGTCGGAGGGGCGAGACCGATCGCCCTCAAGTGCCGTAAGTTGAGGATCCAGTTCAGGGAGAAGCTAGCAGACCTGATCAAGGGTCTACTATGATTAACTATTCCAGATCACCATGGGCTTCCCCCATCGTGGTGATCATTAAGAAGAATGGGGTGGACATCAGGCTATGTATCGATTACCGGTTGGTTCATAGCCTGACACAACTGATGGTCTACCCAATGCCCTTGATCAATGACTTACTCGAAGACCT